TGTATGTGTGTGTGTGTGTGTGTGTGTATGTGTGTGTGTGTGTGTGTGTGTCTTAAGAGATCCTTCTATTAGGCTGTTTGCTGTTGGCTTCTTGGGCAGCTGTTTACATCTGGATTGTTGGTCTGAAGTTAATCTTGATCAGGTGGATTCCAACCTCCACAAAGGATTCCAGAGAGATTGTTGGGTGTGAATGGGAAGATCTTCCTCTCCCTGCTACAAAACGCACACAGGAAGGCCGGATTCTCGCTTAGACGGGCCTTAAGGATTGGCCCGTTTTATGGCCGTTCTTCTTCGACCGTCCTCAGAAGGCGCCTGACGCCAACGGAGCCTTCGGCTGACTTTTTATGGACGTCAATCAAAGTCTTATCAAAACTCCCGGGGAACCAGATGCTTTAGTTGAGTGGTGAGGAGGGATCATGGGTCCTTCCTGACCTCTGGACTTCAACTCCCAGAATTCCTCAGCCAGCCATTATGTCTGCCTCAGGAATTCTGGGAATTGAAGTCCACAGGCCACACCCTGGACAGCCATTGGTCTGGTTTTGTTGCAATACTGTCATAAGTACGAGTCAGTGGGCGATCTTCAAAATTCTGGCCACATGGCCCTGGGGCTGCTGGAACGGTCGTAAGTGTGAAAAAGGTCCGACGTCGCTTTTTCTAAGAGAACTTGGAACGCTCCCTAAACGGAGGATTGTAAGTCGGGGACCATCTGGGTAGGAAGGCAGGTAGTCCTCAACTTATAACAGCTCGCTTAGGGACCGTCCAAAGTCACGACAGCCTTGAAAATGGTGAATTGTGACCGTTTTTTCACACTAGCGGCCGTTGCAGCCTCCCCACGGTCGCATGGGCAAAATTCAGACGCTGGACCACTGCCTCGCAGTTATGACGGTCACAGTGTCCCGGGGTCACGTGAGCCGCTTTTATGACCTCCTGACAAACGAACACAAGGGGAAAGGTCAGATTCACTTAGCGACCGTGTTACTAATTTAACAACTGCAGTGACGTGGCAAAAAAAAAGAAGAAGTAATAAAATAGGGGAAAACTGGCTTAACAAGTTATTTATTAAATTTATTAAATTTATAGGCCGTCCAATCCCGAAGATCCTCATTTAGAAGCATAAATCTGGGTCCCAACCGTGGTCGTAAGTCCTGGAACTTAAGCTGCAGTGCTGATTGTTCACCTTTGGCATTAGCAGCCGCCAGGGAGAGTGGGTGTGTCGGTAACACAACTGTGAGCATAGCAATTAGCAATTAGACTTATATACCGCTTCATAGGGCTTTCAGCCCTCTCTAAGCGGTTTACAGAGTCAGCATATCGCCCCCACAGTCTGGGTCCTCATTTCACCCAGATAGATAGATAGATAGACAGACACAGACAGATAGATGGATGATACATAGATAGATAGATAGAAATAGCAGTTAGACTTATATAGCGCTTCATAGGGCTTTCAGCCATCTCTAAGCGGTTTACAGAGTCAGCATATCGCCCCCACAGTCTGGGTCCTCATTTCACCCAGATAGATAGATAGATAGACAGACACAGACAGATAGATGGATGATACATAGATAGATAGATAGATAGCAATAGCAGTTAGACTTATATACCGCTTCATAGGGCTTTCAGCCATCTCTAAGCGGTTTACAGAGTCAGCATATCGCCCCCACAGTCTGGGTCCTCATTTCACCCAGATAGATAGATAGATAGACAGACACAGACAGAT